AAGTGTTCAAAGGCCTCTGTGATACAGTAACCAGCATCACCCCACAAAAGTCCAGTAGGTATAACATTTCCAGAGTCTTGGCTAACTGATTACTACCTAACGTGGACATTGCCATTCATGGGCACCAACCAGCAGTATCACATCTGCTGCCTTCATTGGATAACACCAAGCTGTGCCAAGGAGCACTTCAGGAGTCTTACCAGCCGACACATATTGCCATCTCCCACTGAGGCAGGGTGACCTGAAAAACAAGGAACGAAAGCTTTTCTTCTTTTTACATTTAGTAATGTATACAGGAGAAAGGGTTACTAGCCCCTTGCTCCCGGCATTTCAGTCACCTCTTAAGACACACATGGCTTATGGAGGAAGGATTTTTCCCTATAGAGCATTACCCAGTTTGTTACCTTAAATGTTATCCTGCTGGTAGCCTATGCCTACCTGATCTCTTCCACTCTATATAATGCTTGTTCTATTCTTTGAATAAAAACTCAAGAAATTACTCATGACAGAACATTTCCTCAAGAAATTCTTTAATCCTTAAACTGTCCAAACATAGATCTGCGTTCACATACATAGTGCTCCAACCTTTTATTTTTACATTTGAAAGCATGTAAAAAAACATAGATCTACATTCGGAGCGCTATGCACGTGAACATAGATCTACATTTGGACAGTTTAAGGGTTAAACTGTGCATACGTTTCTTTGTGTACATACATACGTTGATCAGAAAGACACATGCCACAGTTAGGTATCTTCATTGTTGAAACGTTATGGCTAGTCAGTAGGCTTGACTCACGAAATCGTAATGACACAATTGCAAACAAACCATACCATGGGCAGGGATAGAACCTGTGATCAGAGTCTCAAAACTCCAGACCGTCGCGTTAGCCACTGGACCAGCTAGCCACAATAAGATTCATCCAACTAGGTATTTCTCTATACCATAGGAAGGTTAGCATAGGCCACCACTGTGACCACAAATGCAAGTTTTTACAGACGAATCTCCAGCTAGCATGGCCGTGACGAACTCTAGCTCAAGTCCACTCAAAGCCGTCAACATGACTCATGAAATCGTAATGACATGATTGCAAACAAACCTTACCACGGGCAGGGATAGAACCTGTGATCAGAGAGTCTCAAAACTCCAGACCATTGTGTTAGCCACTGGCTAACACAACGTGGCTAACTGGCCCAGTGGCTAACGCGACGGTCTGGAGTTTTGAGACTCTCTGATCGCAGGTTCTATCCCCATCCGTGGTATGGTTTGTTTACTCAGTAGGCTTCTTCAGTTAGATACAGATGAGATATCATAGGCAGTAGAGATGAAAAAATGATGTAATTGGTCCAACACCCTGGAATATGGGATTGACTGATTACATCATTTTTTCATCTCTACTGCCTATGCTGTCTTCATTTTATTTGACTGAAAAAGACTACCGAGTAGCCATAACATTTCAACAATACTTAACTGTTGTATGTTTGTCTTACTCATTGACTTGTCGGTATTTTATACCATTTTCTGCATACATATGTATGAATAAACAGTTGTTTATTACAACTTAATTTGACTTCATACATATGTATTATAATGTCTTAGAACAGAATATCATTGGTTAGTGTCTACATATCAAATTTTATCACAAGTTTTAAATGGCCAAATTATGCATACTATATTTATGTATTTTTTTTTTTTTTAGTTATAACTAAATGTAAAGAGATTATTTCCCAGTAAAAGTAGGCCTTAGACAAGGATGTGTGATGTCACCGTGGTTGTTTAATATATTTATAGATGGGGTTGTAAGAGAAGTAAATGCGAGGGTCTTGGCAAGAGGCGTGGAGTTAAAAGATAAAGAATCACACACAAAGTGGGAGTTGTCACAGTTGCTCTTTGCTGATGACACTGTGCTCTTGGGAGATTCTGAAGAGAAGTTGCAGAGATTGATGGATGAATTTGGTAGGGTGTGCAAAAGAAGAAAATTAAAAGTGAATATAGGAAAGAGTAAGGTTATGAGGATAACAAAAAGATTAGGTGATGAAAGATTGGATATCAGATTGGAGGGAGAGAGTATGGAGGAGGTGAATGTATTCAGATATTTGGGAGTGACGTGTCAGCGAATGGGTCTATGAAAGATGAGTTGAATCATAGAATTGATGAGGGGAAAAGGGTGAGCGGTGCACTTAGGAGTCTGTGGAGACAAAACTTTTTCCATGGAAGCAAACAGGGAAATGTACGAGAGTATAGTTTTACCAATGCTCTTATATAGGTGTGAAGCATGGGTGGTGAACGTTTCATCGAGGAGAAGGCTGGAGGCAGTGGAGCTGTCATGTCTGAGGGCAATGTGTGGTGTGAATATAATGTAGAGAATCCGTAGTTTGGAAATTAGGAGGTGCGGGATTACCAAAACTATTTTCTAGAGGGTTAAGGAGCGGTTGTTGAGGTGGTTCAGACATGTAGAGAGGATTGAACGAAAAAGAATGACTTCGAGAGTGTATAAACCTGTAGTGGAGGGAAGGCGGGGTAGGGGTCGGCCTAGGAAAGGTTGGAGGGAGCAGGTAAATGAGGTGTGCGAGGGGCTTGGACTTCTGGTAAGCATGCGCGAGCATGTTAGATAGGAGTGAATGGAGACAAATGGATTTTAAGACTTGATGTGCTGTTGGAGTGTAAGCAAGGTAACATTTATGAAGGGATTCAGACCGGATTTGTGTCCTGGAGATGGGAAGTACAGTGCCAGCACTCTGAAGGAGGGGTGTTAATGTTGCAGTTTTATAACTGTAGTGTGAGTGCACCTCTGGCAAGACAGTGATGAAGTAAACAATGAAAGTTTTTATATTTTGGGCCACCCTGCCTTGGTGGGAAATGGCCGATGTGTTAATAAAAAAAAAATGTAAGCATATCCTAAATTATATTCATTATGTCAACTTACTGGTTAATTTTCAACTGACTATGGTTTCATTAGTGAATATTATATGCCTACTCTCTTTACCATTTTGGCAAGGGGGGGAATTAAGTGTAATGGCTAGTATACTAATACTGTTTTTCAAGGAAATGTAAATTAAATTTTTATTTAGTTCATACATTTTTATTTTATTATAAGTACATTTTATTCAGTTGATGATTGAGACACTTGTGCAACACTAAAGGTGTGGAAAAAGACACTTGTGTACAGTTCAGGGCATTTATTAAAGGAATATGTTTATTATACATGAGCAAGGGGCTAGTAACCCTTTCTCCTGTATATACATATTACTAAATTTAAAAGGAGAAGCTTTCGTTTTTCCTTTTGGGCCACCCTGCTTCAGTGGGATACTGCCGGTTTGTTGAGAGAAGAAAGATTTACTATACATCATAGGTAGTAGGTTGGTAGACAGCAACCGCCCAGGGAGGTACTTCTGTCCTGCCAAGTGAGTGTAAAACAAAAGCCTGTAATTGTTTTACATGATGGTAGGATTGCTGGTGTCTTTTTTCTGTCTCATAAACGTACAAAATTTCAGGTACGTCTTGTTGCTTCTACAGTGGACCCCCGGTTTACGATATTATTTCATTCCAGAAGTATGTTCAGGTGCCAGTACTGAACAAATTTGTTCCCATAAGGAATATTGTGAATTAGATTAGTCCATTTCAGACCCCCAAACATACACGTACAAACGCACTTACATAAATACACTTACATAATTGGTTGCATTGGGAGGTGATCGTAAAGCGGGGGTCCACTGTACTTACACTTGGGTCACACTACACATGCATGTACAAGCATATAAATATATATTCTTTCAACAAACCAGCCGTATCCCACCGAGGGAGGGTGGCCCAAAAAGAAAAACAAAAGTTTCTCTTTTTAAATTTAGTAATTTATACAGGAGAAGAGATTACTAGCCCCTTGCTCCCAGCATTTTAGTCGCCTCTTACAACACGCATGGCTTACGGAGGAAGAATTCTGTTCCACTTCCCCATGGAGATAAGAGGAAATAAACAAGAACAAGAACTAGAAAGAAAATTGCAGAAAACCCAGAGGGTTGTGTGTATATATATGCTTGTACATGTGTAGTGTGACCTCAGTGTAAGCAGAAGTAGCAAGACGTACCTGAAATCTTGCATGTTTATGAGACAGAAAAAAGGACACCAGCAATCCTACCATCATGTAAAACAATTACAGGCTTTCGTTTTACACTCATTTGGCAGGATGGTAGTACCTCCCTGGGCGGTTGCTGTCTACCAACCTACTACCTACTGAAATATATATATATATATATATATATATATATATATATATATATATATATATATATATATATATATATATATATATATATATATATATATATATATATATATATATATATATATACACATATATATATATACACACCCTTCTGGGGTTTCTTCTATTTTCTTACTAGTTCTTGTTCTTGTTTATTTCCTCTTATCTCCATGGGGAAGTGGAACAGAATTCTTCCTCCATAAGTTATGCGTGTTGTAAGAGGCGACTAAAATGCCGAGAGCAAGGGGCTAGTAACCCCTTCTTCTTTGTATATTACTAAATATCAAAGAAGAAACATTGATTTTTCTTTTTTGGGCCACCCTGCCTCGGTGGGATACGGCTGGTTTGTTGAAAAAAAAAAATACATTTATTATACATTTATTAAAGGAAACATTTTCCCACTAGTGGCAAAACGTTTCCTTTTAATAAGTGTCCTGAAGTGTATGTAAGTGTGTTTTTCCATATCTTGTCAGTGTCACCATACTGTTTTTCAACACTAAAGGTGCCTAAGTGTTGGACAAGTGTCTCAGGTACCTGTTGTCTGTTGTCTGGACCAATGTCTACAATTTTAAGTTGTTTTTAGGTCATCATTATGCAGTCAGAAAGAGGTAGTATATTGCTGTCCTGAGAGCCAAGTCTAAGCCATCCACTCTTAAAATTTGGTATTGTGTGAAATGGCATAGAGGTGTCTTTTCAAATTTTCTGTTTGCCATCATTTTTAGTATTATAATTTTTTGCAGCTACAAAAAAATGGGCTCCTAACTCTATGCTGTGATCGAATACTACACGAAGTGTCATTTGATAAGTACAGGTGTGCCCGGCTTGTTCTGGATTGTCTCCTCACCTTCAATGATCCTTCCACTGACAGAATGGCTGTTGCAATCTGCTCAATCTTAGCAGCTAAAATATCTACAACCCAAACTGCACTACTAGGAGCAAAGGTAAGGAATTTCAAGGTTAGAAGCTAAGTGTACTTGTTAGTGGTACAGTAAGCCTACAGTATGATAAGTAAGACACATGTGTAACAGTTAGGTATCTTTATTCCGAAATGTTTCACCTACACAGTAGGTTTCTTCAGTTGAAGCCTCTGTACCTGACTGAAGAAGCCTACTGCATAGGCAAAATGTTTCAAAATAAAGATACCTAACTGTTGAACATGTATTTTACTACCAACTTGTCGGTATTGTATTTTTTTTTTTTTTTTTTTTTTTTTTTTCAACAAGTCGGCCGTCTCCCACCGAGGCAGGGTGACCCAAAAAAAGAAAGAAAATCCCCAAAAAGAAAATACTTTCATCATCATTCAACACTTTCACCACACTCGCACATTATCACTGTTTTTGCAGAGGTGCTCAGAATACAACAGTCTAGAAGCATACACATATAAAGATACACAACATATCCCTCCAAACTGCCAATATCCCAAACCCCTCCTTTAAAGTGCAGGCATTGTACTTCCCATTTCCAGGACTCAAGTCCGACTATATGAAAATAACCGGTTTTCCCTGAATCCCTTCACTAAATATTACCCTGCTCACACTCCAACAGATCGTCAGGTCCCAAGTACCATTCGTCTCCATTCACTCCTATCTAACACGCTCACGCACGCTTGCTGGAAGTCCAAGCCCCTTACCCACAAAACCTCCTTTACCCCCTCTCTCCAACCCTTTCGAGGACGACCCCTACCCCGCCTTCCTTCCCCTATAGATTTATATGCTTTCCATGTCATTCTACTTGGATCCATTCTCTCTAAATGACCAAACCACCTCAACAACCCCTCTTCTGCCCTCTGACTAATACTTTTATTAACTCCACACCTTCTCCTAATTTCCACACTCCGAATTTTCTGCATAATATTTACACCACACATTGCCCTTAAACAGGACATCTCCACTGCCTCCAACCGTCTCCTCGCTGCTGCATTTACCACCCAAGCTTCACACCCATATAAGAGTGTTGTACTACTATACTTTCATACATTCCCTTCTTTGCCTCCATAGATAACGTTTTTTGACTCCACATATACCTCAACGCACCACTCACCTTTTTTTCCCTCATCAATTCTATGATTAACCTCATCCTTCATAAATCCATCCGCCGACACGTCAACTCCCAAGTATCTGAAAACATTCACTTCTTCCATACTCCTCCTCCCCCAATTTGATATCCAATTTTTCTTTATCTAAATCATTTGACACCCTCATCACCTTACTCTTTTCTATGTTCACTTTCAATTTTCTACTTTACACACATTCCCAAACTCATCCACTAACCTTTGCAATTTTTCTTTAGAATCTCCCATAAGCACAGTATCATCAGCAAAAAGTAACTGTGTCAATTCCCATTTTGAATTTGATTCCCCATAATTTAATCCCACCCCTCTCCCAAACACCCTAGCATTTACTTCCTTAACAACCCCATCTATAAATATATTAAACAACCATGGTGACATTACACATCCCTGTCTAAGACCTACTTTATAACCGGAAATAGTCTCCCTCTCTTCTACACACCCTAACCTGAGCCTCACTATCTTCATAAAAACTCTTTACAGCATTTAATAACTTACCACCTATTCCATATACTTGCAACATCTGCCACATTGCTCCTCTATCCACTCTATCATATGCCCTTTTCTAAATCCATAAATGCAATAAAAACTTCCCTACCTTTATCTAAATACTGTTCACATATATGCTTCAATGTAAACACTTGATCTACACATCCCCTACCCACTCTGAAACCTCCTTGCTCATCCGCAATCCTACATTCTGTCTTACCTCTAATTCTTTCAATTATAACCCTACCGTACACTTTTCCTGGTATACTCAGTAAGCTTATTCCTCTATAATTTTTACAGTCTCTTTTGTCCCCTTTCCCTTTATATAAAGGGACTATACATGCTCTCTGCCAATCCCTAGGTACCTTCCCCTCTTTCATACATTTATTAAACAAAAGTACCAACCACTCCAACACTATATCCCCCCCTGCTTTTAACATTTCTGTCATGATCCCATCAGTTTCCAGCTGCTTTAACCCCCTTTCATTTTACGTAATGCCTCACGTACCTCCCCCACACTTACATTCTGCTCTTCTTCACTCCTAAAAGATGGTATACCTCCCTGACCAGTGCATGAAATTACTGCCTCTGTTTCTTCCTTAACATTTAAAGTTCCTCAAAATATTCTCGCCATCTACCCAATACCTCCATCTCCCCATCTACTAACTCCCCTACTCTGTTTTTAACTGACAAATCCATATTTTCCCTAGGCTTTCTTAACTTGTTTAACTCACTCCAAAATTTTTTCTTATTTTCATTAAAATTTCTTGACAGTGCCTCTCCCACTCTATCATCTGCTCTCCTTTTGCACTCTCTCACCACTCTCTTTACCTTTCTTTTACTCTCCATATATTCTGCTCTTCTTACCTTAAGAAGGTATTGTATGCCATTATTATATTCAAACCCACAGTTTAATGGACTTTGAAATAATGGGCAAAATCTGTTAATAAATTGTACTTTAAAATCAGTGTGAGCAAGGTAACATTTATGAAGGGATTCAGAGAAACTGGTTAGCTGGACTTGAATCCTGGAGGTGGGAAGTACAGTGCCTGCGCTCTGAAGGAGGGGTGAAGATATTTGTAGTATTGGGGCCCCTCTGGCAAGACGGGGAAGAGTGAGAGATGATGAAAGTGTTTCTTATCTTCTTGCGTCATCCTACCTCGGTGGGAGACTGGTAGAAAGATGGGAAAAGGTTGTTGCAGTCGGAGGGTACTACGATTGTGATTAGTGGTAGTCGTAGTAATAGTAATGGATAACACTAAAAAATGTGTTCAACAAAAAGGGACCATAAAAAGAGAATTGGTATCACTCAATTTTCTTGAAAATCTGTTGCATCCTCCTCCCCAAGGAAGCTAGATAATGGATAATTTACTGTACAACTATTACATTTTAGCACATGTATGTATATTAAGACTTTAGAGTGTGCAGCAGCTGAGTGATCTGTTGTCTAACTGGTCCAGTGACTTGTATTTCTGCATTTTTCATGCTTCAGTACAGTATTTTAGTCTACCAGCTGGCTCAACATTGTCCGCACACACAATAGCTTACACACAATTGTGGTGCTGAGGATAGGTAAGGGGGATGAAGCCCCCAAGGCCCCCCTCTCCCAAATAACTATAATAATGCTGATTGAAGACTAGTACAGTGGACCCCCGGTTCGCGATAGTAATCCATTCCTGAGAGCTCATCATAAACCAAAATTATCGGAAAGCGATTCAGTTTTCCCCATAAGAAATAATGGAAATCAAATTAATCCGTGCAAGACACCCAAAAGTATGAGAAAAAAAACTTTTAACAACTTGAAATATTAAGTTTAATGCAATAGAATAATTACAATAACAATAGAATAATAACAGTAGAATAATTGACACTTACGTTTAATGAAGATCTGGTGATGATTGATGGGATGGGAGGAGGGGAGTGTGTTGAACCTATTGTTTAGAAGGGGAATCCCCTTCATTAGGACTTGAGGTAGCTTTTCCTCCTGAGTAATGTAGGCCCTGCTTGGCAATTTCTTCCAAAACTGGCCTGTTTTGTCACAATTAAACACTTGTTCAGGTTTCAATCTTTCAGCCTCTATGTACTCCTTGAATTCATGCACATATTTTTCAGCCACTTTGTGGTCTGAACTGGCAGCCTCACCATGCCTAATCACACTATGTATACCACTACGATTCTTAAATTTTTCAAACCAACCTTCGCTGGCCTTAAATTCACTCACATCACCACTAGTTGCAGGCATTTTTCTAATTAAATCGTCATGCAACTTCCTAGCCTTTTCACAAGTGATCACTTGAGAGATGCTATCTCCAGCTATCTGTTTTTCATTTATCCACACCAATAACAGTCTCTCAACATTTTCTAACACTTGCGATCGCTGTTTTGTAATCACACTTGCACCTTTTGCAAGAACAGCTTCCTTGATTGTCGTTTTCCTGCTCACTATAGTAGAGATGGTTGATTGGGATTTACTGTACAACTTGGCCAGGTCCGACACACGCACTCCACTTTCATACTTTGCAATTATCTCTTTCTTCATTTCAATAGTCATTAGCACCCTTGGTCTCGATGGGTTGGCACTAGAAGCTTTCTTGGGGCCCATGGTGACTTATTTTGCAGAAACAAGCACCAAAAAACAGTGATAATATGGATAATATGGAATGTACCGAATGTATCCTTAGATGCGCACACACTGGCTGGCTTGTAAACACTGGACACGTCTCGTACGAATCATATCGCATACCGGGTTTTGTATCGGGAAGCGAGGCAAATTTTCTGCGATATAATGCATCGGTTACCGGATTTATCGGATACCAATAGCATCGCGAACTGGGGGACCACTGTACTTCCAACCAGATTGCCACCCTTAAGCCCCAGGAAGAGGTTTTCAAGAGGAAATTAGGCCAATTCCTGCAACAAGTGTCACATTATGTAGACTTACAGCCTGCTGGCAGCAGCAGTCTGGTTAATCAGGCAGTCAGCAAGAAAGTCTGGCCTCAGGGAGGGCTGCGAGGGGATAACTATCATCAAAATTGATCAGAGGTAAGTTTTCAAGGTTAAGGTTAGGTTTTACTACGTAAGGTGCTCCATGACTTACGACGGGGTTATGTTTTGATGAACCCATTCTAAGTTGAAAATATCGTAATTTGAATATGAATATAGTCGTACCCCACTTTACGTCATTCCGGCCTATGTCAGATTCGCTTTTGTCACTTTTCTAGAGTAAATTTTAGTCCGACTTTACATCACGAAGTTATTTACGCTAGTTTTGCATTTTTTTTTTATCATTTTGAGGCATTTTTAACCCTTTGACTGTCGCGGCCGTATGTATATGTCTTACGAGGTACCGTGTTTGACGTATATATACTCATAAATTCTAGCGGCTTCAAATCAAGCAGGAGAAAGCTGGTAGGCCCACATGTGAGAGAATGGGTCTGTGTGGTCAGTGTGCACCATATAAAAAAAATCATGGAGCACGCAGTGCATAATGAGAAAAAAAAACTCCGACCATTTTTTTAATTAAAATGCCGACTTTGTGGTCTATTTTTGTATAGTATTTATGGTTGTATTCTCGTTTTCTTGCTCTCATTTGATAGAATGGAAAACATATTATAGAAATAGTGGTGATTTTGATTGATTTTACTAAAAAAGAACCTGGAAATGGAGCTCAAAGTAGGGGAAATGTTTGATTTTTGCCAATGTTCAAAAGTAAACAAATGATGTCATTGTCCAATAAATGTCCAAATAGCCATTCTAATATGCAGTCATGAATGGGTTGATGTTATTTATACAATTATTACAGTATTGCAGTAGTCTGCATAATAGTAAGTCTTCTATTTTTTGTTTGAATAAAAATTCAAAATAGAAAGCAAGAGTAATATCAGAGGGGCCTGGAGACATGACTGATGAACAAAGAAAATGTTATTTTAGAGCCAGGAATGTCTGCATTGTTCATTCTGGACCTTATTTTGAAATTGTCATATTTTTTAATTTTCGTGAAATTGGCCAAATTGCAAATTTCTGACCACATTATTGGGTAGTTGAAATCGGTAAATGGACAGTGTCTTGTACTCAATCGATAGAAAAAATGGAGTTCTAAAGAAATAGCTATGAGTTTGGTCGACTGGAACAATGGAATTAGCCGAAAATAGGGCTCAAAGTGGGCGAAATCGCCGATTTGTAAATATCGCCGAGGTCGCTAACTTTGCAAGAGCATAATTCCGTCAGTTTTCCATCAAATTTCATTTTTTTGGTGTCATTACAATCGGGAAGAGATTCTCTATCATTTCATAAGAAAAAATCATTTTTTTTTTTTTTTAAATTTTGCGACACCAGGAGACACCTCAGGATTGGGGGTTGCGACAGTCAAAGGGTTAAGGCATGTATGGTTTACACAAATAACCCACACATAAAAGAGAGAAGCTTACGACGACGTTTCGGTCCAACTTGGACCATTTACAAAGTCACACTAACCAGAAGTGGAGCAGGACGGCTATATATAGGCAGGAAGAGGTGGTGGTAGTAGTAGTAGTAGTACAAGAATGGCATATAATACCGACAAGATGAAATCAAGACACATGCACAACACCCGGGCATCCCTAACGTAGACGTTTCGCCATCCAGCCAGCCACTGGATGGCAAAACGTTCACAACAAAGACACCCAGACGCCGCACGTGTCTTAATTAGTAGTAGTAGTAGTAGTAGAAGTAGAAGAGGTAGTAGTAGTAGTGGTAGTGGTAGAAGTAGTGAATAAGGAGGACAAGCCAGTCCAAAACAAAGGAAGGGGAGCACTGCAAGAGAGCTAGGTGCCCACAGAGGGAGAGCAAGCGCACAGAGGTGCGTGAAAGGGGAAGTGGTGAAATAAATGGTCCAAGTCGGACCAAAACATCGTCGTAAGCTTCTCTCTTTTATGTGCGGGTTATTTGTGTATCGTTCCAGTCACGGTATTGTGCCTTTTTTTGTTATGTATGGTTTACATCAAAAACCAGGTTAAGTCATGGCTCTTGGAACCAGTTAATGATGTAGGGTGGGGTATGACTGTATGATAAATAAATACATAACTACTGCCACTAAATAAGTAAATAAACAAATAATTACTGTAACTAAATACCAGTATTGACAAGTAAATAAATGAATTCAAGTTGATCCTATTAATAAATGTACCGTAGTGTAAGATATGGAATGTGCATCGCTGTCACATCATTGTCAGGTTGAAATACCGTAAGTTGAACCATGGTAAAGCGAGGAGTGCCTGTAGTTGACGTTGCATTATAAACACCAGTACAGTGGACCCCCGGTTAATGATATTTTTTCATTCCAGAAGTATGTTCAGGTGCCGGTACTGACTGAATTTGTTCCCATAAGGAATATTGTGAAGTAGATTAGTCCATTTCAGACCCCCAAACATACACGTACAAACGCACTTACATAAATACACTTACATAATTGGTCGCATTCGGAGGTGATCGTTATGCGGGGGTCCACTGTATTGTGTGGTGAATTTCTATTAAGCGGTTATTATTTCTCTTGTCTTTCTAGAGTGTTTACATGCGCAAGTTGTTGAGCTTAGTGCAGACACGCATGGAGGAGCGAGCCGTTGATATTACTCTCAAATTCACACTCTCGGCCTTGTGGAATCTAACTGGTTGGTATCAAAAACTTTATTTTTTAGTTATCAGTTTTATTTTACTTATTTGGAATACAGTTTATATTTTACAGCATTTTGGTAATATTTTTAATTATTATTCATATACATTTTCTGGTTTTATATAATTTATATTTGTGTAAATTTGCTCAATTAGAATTTAATCCTTAAACTGTGTCCAACGTACTAGTGTGCAAATGCTGTTTGTGTCCAGCACACTAGTACACAAATGCTGTCTGTGTCTGATGCACTAGTACACAAATGCTATCTGTGTCTAGCACATTAGTACACAAATGCTGCTTGTGTCCAACACACTGGTACACAAATGCTATCTGTGTCTGATACACTAGTACACAAATGCTATCTGTGTTCAGCACACTAGTACACAAATGCTGTCTGTGTCTGATACACTAGTACACAAATGCTATCTGTGTCCAGCACACTAGTACACAAATGCTGTTTATGTCCAACACACTGGTACACAAATGCTGTCTGTGTCTAGCACACTGGTACACAAATGCTGTCTGTGTCTAGCACACTGGTACACATATGCTATCTGTGTCCAGCACACTAGTACACAAATGCTGTCTGTGTCTAGCACACTGGTGCACAAATGCTGTCTGTGTCTAGCACACTAGTACACAAATGCTGTCTGTGTCTAGCACACTTGTACACAAATGCTGTCTGTGTCTAGCACACTTGTACACAAATGCTGTCTGTGTCTAGCACACTTGTACACAAATGCTGTCTGTGTCTAGCACACTTGTACACAAATGCTGTCTGTGTCTAGCACACTTGTACACAAATGCTGTCTGTGTCTAGCACACTTGTACACAAATGCTGTCTGTGTCTAGCACACTTGTACACAAATGCTGTCTGTGTCTAGCACACTTGTACACAAATGCTGTCTGTGTCTAGCACACTGGTACACAAATGCTGTCTGTGTCTAGCACACTTGTACACAAATGCTGTCTGTGTCTAGCACACTGGTACACAAATGCTGTCTGTGTCCAGCACACTGGTACACAAATGCTGTCTGTGTCTAGCACACTGGTACACAAATGCTGTCTGTGTCTAGCACACTGGTACACAAATGCTGTCTGTGTCTAGCACACTGGTACACAAATGCTGTCTGTGTCTAGCACACTGGTACACAAATGCTGTCTGTGTCTAGCACACTGGTACACAAATGCTGTCTGTGTCTAGCACACTGGTACACAAATGCTGTCTGTGTCTAGCACATTGGTACACAAATGCTGTCTGTGTCTAGCACACTGGTACACAAATGCTGTCTGTGTCTACACACTGGTACACAAATGCTGTCTGTGTCTAGCACATTGGTACACAAATGCTGTCTGTGTCTAGCACACTGGTACACAAATGCTGTCTGTGTCTAGCACACTTGTACACAAATGCTGTCTGTGTCTAGCACACTGGTACACAAATGCTGTCTGTGTCTAGCACATTGGTACACAAATGCTGTCTGTGTCTAGCACACTGGTACACAAATGCTGTCTGTGTCTAGCACACTGGTACACAAATGCTGTCTGTGTCTAGCACACTTGTACACAAATGCTGTCTGTGTCTAGCACACTGGTACACAAATGCTGTCTGTGTCTAGCACATTGGTACACAAATGCTGTCTGTGTCTAGCACACTGGTACACAAATGCTGTCTGTGTCTAGCACACTGGTACACAAATGCTGTCTGTGTCTAGCACATTGGTACACAAATGCTGTCTGTGTCTAGCACACTGGTACACAAATGCTGTCTGTGTCTAGCACACTTGTACACAAATGCTGTCTGTGTCTAGCACACTGGTACACAAATGCTGTCTGTGTCTAGCACATTGGTACACAAATGCTGTCTGTGTCTAGCACATTGGTACACAAATGCTGTCTGTGTCTACACACTGGTACACAAATGCTGTCTGTGTCTACACATTGGTAACACAATGCTGTCTGTGTCTAGCACATTGGTACACAAATGCTGTCTGTGTCTAGCACATTGGTACACAAATGCTGTCTGTGTCTAACACACTGGTACACAAATGCTGTCTGTGTCTAGCACACTGGTACACAAATGCTGTCTGTGTCTAACACACTGGTACACAAATGCTGTCTGTGTCTAGCACACTGGTACACAAATGCTGTCTGTTGTCTAGCCCATTGTACACAATCTGTCTTGTCTAGCACATTGGTACAAAATCGTCTGGATCTAACACACTGGTACAACAAATGCTGTCATTGTCTAGCACAATTGGTACACAAATGCTGTCTGGGTCTAGCACTTGGTACACAAATCTGTCTGTGTCCTAGCACATTGGTACAACATGCAGTCCTGTGTCTAACACATGGTCACACAAAGCTGTCGTTCCTAGCCCTGTAACAAAGTGTCTGTGTCAACAGCTGGTACAACAAATGCTGTCTGTGTCTACACATCTGTACTAAAATCTGTCTGTGTCTACACACTGGAATCAAAGCTGTCTGTCTAACACACTAGGTACACAAATCTGTCCCTTGTCTAGCACATTGTACACAAACTGTCTGTGATCTAACAACTGTTACACAAATGCTTCTGTGTCTAGCAATTGGTACCATAGCTGTCTGTCTAGCACATTGGTACACAAATCTGTCTGTGTCTAGACACGGACACAAAGCTCTGTGTACTAAATCACACTGTGACAAACGTCTGTGCTAGCCATGTACACAAATGCTGTCTGTGTCTAGCACACTGGTACAAAATGCAGTCTGTTCCCTAGCAACACTGGACACAAATGCTGTCTTGTCTAGCACACTGGTACACAAATGTGTCTGTGTTAGCATCACTGTACACAAATGCTGTCTGTGTCACCACAACTGCTACCAAATGCTGTCTGTGTCAATATATAGTACCCCCAGTTTTCCATACCCACGAAACGCCAATAATTTTGAACCTCAGCACAACATTTAAGTGCTTTCATCTATTCATAAATTTGAAAAAAAAAACAAAACAAAGCCCAGCAAAGTCTGCACAATATATCATGGTTAACTACTCGGGTTGACTATGCCCGACTACTATATGGCCTCACTACACTAAAACATGAACCAAGCTATTGTTCCATCACCGCTTCCCTCCAACAACGGTGGCAGTGCCTCAAAAATACTTAGTCCAAATTTGTTAAAATTTCATGATGCTAACAGTGGAATTCAATCACAAAACACACTAGGTATATAATCCAGGATAACCCAGTAAAGTTGAACACTCTGAATAATTTCCATGTTTTGATGAATATTGTACTCTAAATACTTTAATATTAAGTATTCTTTATACATAGTCGTAGAAGACCAAGACATTAAAAAAAATACAGTGAAAAACTCGGCAGCCATCTCCCATCAAGGCAGGGTGACCCAAAAAAGAAAAACACTTCACACATTCAACACTTTAGATCAATATATATCACATTTTTGCAGAGGTGCTCAGAAGGACGGTTTAGATGTCACTTCCAAACTGCCAATATCCCAAACTCCTCTTAAATCAGCATGACTTACGCTCAGAAGAATGTAACTGTTCCACTAATCCCCAGAAAATAATTCACACTCAAGTTATAAAAACTTCAACTAACATATTTATCAAAACTAACCACATGCCCTAAATCAAAGAGCCACTACTATAAAACTTTTTATCCCTCCCCCATCCTTTCCTAGGACACCCCTACCCCTCCTCCCTTTCACTGAAGATTTATACACCCTCCAAGGTTATCCTATTTTTTGCTCCATCCTCTTAATGACAAACCACCTCAACAACCCTCTTCAGCCCTTGATATTTAGCTAGTTACAGTAATTATTTGTTTATTTACTCATTCAGTGACGGTAGTTATATATTCTTTCAACACACCGGCCGCATCCCACCAAGGCAGGGTGGCCCAAAAAAAAAACGAAAGTTTCTCTTTTAAATTTAGTAATTTATACGGGAGAAGGGGTTACTAGCCCCTTGCTCCTGGCATTTTAGTCGCCTCTTACAACACGCATGGCTTACGGAGGAAGAATTCTGCTCCACTTCCCCATGGAGAATATTCACACTCAAGTTATAATATTTTCAACTAACGATAGTTTGTCAGAACTTAACCCATTGTAAATCAAAGAGCACGTACTTGTATTATCCCATCGTGACATTGAACCTGGTGTTATGGATTGCATTTTCCTTTCAAATGGGAAATCTTTCATCAAGTGTGATACTTGGTCTCTTTTGACTCCAATGTTTTATGTAAAGTGACATGTGTAACTAAAGTGACTTTTATTATGGTGTCACACTTGCATCTGTGTCCATTTACCTAACATTTTTTTGTTAATTCTTCCATTATTACTATGTTTTACAGTTTCTGTATTTTTATTTTGTTGTAAACTCGATTGAAAGCCATTCTTAGTCTGTTTAAATATTTTCTCTGCGGCAGTTTCATTCTTGGTTTCTGTGGCTGCTGTGGCAGTTGAATAAATCTGGAAAATACATTAAAGTGCTCTGATATAAAGTGTTAAAATGTATTTTTTTTTTTGCTCCGTTAGAGACGATCATCAAAGCTTTTTTCTGCTCAACAGATGAATCACCAGCTACATGTGAAGTCTTTCTGGCTGAGAAAGGACTTCATTTGTTTCTGCAGCTTCTAAACGTGTTTGCTCGTGATGCAGCCGTTGAGACTAAAGTGTTGGGTCTCCTCAACAATATTGCAGAAGTCTCCCCTCTCAGAGGTGCCCTCATCAACCAGCATTTTGTTGCACAGCTAAAGTGAGTTATATTTTGTACAGGAAGGCCCCACTTTATGGCGTTTCACTTTACGGCGTTCTGCTAATACGGTCATTTCAAATTATGACCAAAACTCGCTATACGGCTCCCCCCACCTGACTTTCTAATACGGTCACCGCGCCCCACCTTGTTTGTTTACATTCTCCGTGAGCTCAGTAAGCACTAAGTCTCTCCATTTTGTCTGGAAACTCCAAAATTTCAAATGTTTTTAAAAGTTATTTCATATTTTATATATACTCTGATAATTATACTTATGTATACCTGTACTTAAATAAACTTACATACTGTGCTGGCATGCAGGTACACATTAAAATCAGTAAGAGTGTCTTATGTCTCCAGACGTGATATTAGTAATGATAATAATAATCATAGAGTCTCATATAAATGTCGTATATTACGTTAAATACACATTTTCATTAATCCATCTATGATATTTTTTCTAAATTATATAATAAACACGATACATAACATAAAAAGATGATAAATACACCCCACAATAGAATAAATAAACATAAATATGAGATGTGGTAGCAGACGACTTGCACAAGTGACGCCATATTAGAAATGATAATAATAATAATCACCGAGTCTCATTAAATGTTGTATATTATGTTAATATACACATTTTCATTAATCCATCCATGATATTTTTTTCAAAATTATATAATAAACACTATACATAACATAAAAAGATGATAAATACACCCCACAATAAACATAAATATGAGATGTGGGAGCTACATAACTTGTACAAGTGATGCCAAGAATAACATTTTCTCTAATCTAACATAAGAGAAAATGTGTTACTGGGGGTAACTGTAGAAAATTATTCCTTTCGTATGTATGTAAGTTTATTCAGGTATACACAAATACAGTTACATAGATTATCATACATAACAACATATGTGTAGAGAACCTAGGATAACCCAAAAAAGTCAGAGTGACTTATTTCCATTGCCTTCACTCGGAGCATCATTTCTTCTCAAAATGATGTTACATGAGAATGGGAGTGTTCTTCTTTATTTATTCTACCGTATCAATGTAGAGACAACTTGTACACAATGTAACTTGTACACAAACCAGACGTGTACATTTTGTTTACAAAACTTACCTTCGCCTGGTTTGTTTACATAACTCTGCGCCTGTACCTCTCATGCACTCATTCTTTCTCTCTCTCATTTATTCGTTTTATCTCATTTACTTACTCCTGACCCTACATTAAGACTACAAATATTTTAAGGTAAGTAATGAGTGAACTGTATATACATTTTATCGCTCTGGGATGCTTAAATATCATAGAATAGTATGTGTGGGTGGGGTGGCCTGGTATGGTAGCCTGGCTGACTACCATACATACCACACTTGATTTCTTACAATAAATACTACTTGTCTCACCCTAGATTAAGACTATAAATATTTTAAGGTAAGTAATGAGTGCACTATGTGTGTATTGTACTTTTTTATTGTTTTTTGATGCCTGGTTCTATTGCTAACTTAATATATGTTAGTGTAAACTTGTTATCTAGTGTTTTTATGCATTTGTAAGTGGAAAAAAAGGGTGTTCCACTTTAAGGCGGTTTCCGCTTTACGGCGGTAGCCTGGAACCTAACCAGCCATATAAGTGGGGCCTTCCTGTATATTGATTAGTTGTAGTATATTTTTTTAATCTCCTTACTTTCAATATAATAAAAATTAATTATAATACATCACTAATAATACATCAGGCAGGGTGACCCACCAAGGCAGGGTGACCCACCGAGGCAGGGTGACCCAAAAAGAAAGAAAATCCCCAAAAAGAAAATACTTTCATCATCATTCAACTCTTTCACCTCACTCACACATAATCACTGTTTTTGCAGAGGTGCTCAGAAAACAACAGCTTAGAAGCATATACATATAAAGATACACAATATATCCCTCCAAACCGTCAATATCCCGAACCCCTCCTTTAGAATGCAGGCATTGTGCTTCCCATTTCTAGGACTCAAGTCCGGCTATATAAAATAACCGGTTTCCTTGAATCCCTTCACTAAATATTACCCTGCTCACACTCCAATGGATCGTCAGGTCCCAAATACCATTCGTCTCCATTCACTCCTATCTAACATGCTCACGCACGCCTGCTGGAAGTCCAAGCCCCTCGCCCACAAAACCTTCCTTACCCCTTCCAACCTTTTCAAGGACGATCCCTACCTCGCCTTCCTTTCCCTACAGAATTAAATGCTCTCCATGTCATTTTACTTTGATCCATTCTCTCTAAATGACAACATCACCTCAACAACCCCTCTTCAGCCCTCTGACTAATACTTTTATTAACTCCACACTTTTCCCTAATTTCCACACTCCGAATTTTCTGCATAATATTTACACCACACATTGCCCTTAGACAGGACATCTCCACTGCCTCCAACCGCCTCCTCGCTGCTGCATTTACCACCCAAGCTTCACACCCATATAAGAGTGTTGGTACTATGTACTATACTTTCATACATTCCCTTCTTTGCCTCCATAGATAATGTTTTTTGTCGCCACACATACCTCAACGCACCAATCACCTTTTTTCCCTCATCAATTCTATGATTAACCTCATTCTTCATAAAACCATCTGCCGACACGTCAACTCCCAAGTATCTGAAAACATTCACTTCTTCCATACTCCTCCTCCCCAATTTGATATCCAATTTTTTTTTATCTAAATCATTTGATACCCTCATCACCTTACTCTTTTCTATGTTCACTTTCAACTTTCTTCCTTTACACACACTCCCAAACTCGTTCACTAAACTTTGCAGTTTTTCTTTAGACTCTCCCATAAGCACAGTATCATCAGCAAAAAGCAACTGTGTCAATTCCCATTTTGTATTTAATTCCCTGTCTAAGACCTACTTACTGGGAAGTAGTCTTCCTCTCATCTACATACCCTAACCTGAGCCTCACTATCCTCATAAAAACTCTTTATAGCATTTAGTAACTTACAAATATCATAATTTAATTTTAAGGCTGCCTGAAATGCCTTGCATAATATGGGTCTTTCTATAAAGTATCTTATATATATATGTCAATTATCCTAATTGTATGATATACAATACAGTCTCTCCTTTCTTAGTGACGTACTCGTTTACCAATGATTCGGACTTGCGATGGGCTCTCTGAACAGTATGCATACCTAAATAATGTATATTAGAGCTGATTTTCTCTATTCTGTTCATTACAATACATATAGAGTACACTAATGTATAAACATATAAAAATCTTCTTCTTTCAACAAACCGGCCGTATCCCACCAAAGCAGGGTGGCCCAAAAAGAAAAACAAAAGTTTCTCTTTTTAACTTTAGTAATTTATACAGGAGAAGGGGTTACTAGCCCCTTGCTCCCAGCATTTTAGTCACCTGTTACGACACCCATGGCTTACGGAGGAAGAATTCTGTTTCACTTCCTCACGGAGAACATATAAAAATACGTATACTAAAAATGTTTTTAATGGTTCAGAGATGACATTAAAACAATATCAAAGATGATTGACACAAACCCACTACCATTATAGTATGCTCCTTGCTTAGCGACGAATTTGTTTACCGACGTGGTCTTAGGAACAGAACTCCGTCGTTAAGTGAGGAGAGACTGTAGTTATTTTAGTCCGATGGTAACCCTTAGATGGAAACACATTTACTATCATTCAGTAGCTGTCTCTCCAGGGGTGTACAGATTTTTTTTTTATCATATTCACATGTTAATTCTGGATTAGAAATTGTAAGAAATTGAAATAGATCAGAAGAAACCTTTTTTTTTTTTTTTAAGTTTAAAGTGGCTACAAGGAATTAATAAGTAAGATACATGAGAAACTTTGCAACATAAACAAAAATAGTATCCACCAATATACAGCCTACCGTCTCTTAGCGACATACTTGTATACCGACGATTCGAACTTACGACAGGCTGTGACCAGTATTCATACCTAAATAATGTACATTAGAGCTGATTTCCTCTGTTCTCTTTATTTCAGTATACAGTACACTCCTTGGAGTTTACCTGGAGAGAGTTCCGGGGATCAACGCCCCTGCGGCCTGGTCTATGACCAGGCCTCATGGTGGATCAGAGCCTGATCAACCAGGCTGTTACTGCTGGTTACACGCATTCCAATGTATGAGCCACAGCCCGGCTGGTCAGGAACTGACTTTAGGTGCTTGTCCAGTGCCAGCTTGAAGACTGCCAGGGGTCTGTTGGTAATCCCCCTTATGTATGCTGGGAGGCAGTTGAACAGTCTTAGGCCCCTGACACTTATTGTATGGTCTCTTAACGTGCTAGTGACACCCCTGCTTTTCATTGTGGGGATGTTGCATCGTCTGCCGAGTCTTTTGCTTTCGTAGTGGGTGATTTTTTGTGTGCAAGTACGGTACTAGTCCCTCTAGGATTTTCCAGGTGTATATAATCTTGCATCTCTCCCACCTGTGTTCCAGGGAGTACACGTTCAGGAACTTCAAGCGCTCCCAGTAATTGAGGTGTTTTATCTCCGTTATGTGTGCCGTGAAGGTTCTCTGTACATTTTCTAGGTTAGCAATTTCACCTGCTTTGAAAGATGCAGTTAGTGTGCAGCAATATTCCAGCCTAGATAGAACAAGTGACCTGAAGAGTGTCATCATGGGCTTGGCATCCCTAGTTTTGATGGTTCTCATTATCCATCCCGTCATTTTCTAGCAGATGCGATTGATACAATGTTATGGTCCTTGAAGGTGAGATCCTCCGACATGATCACTCCCAGGCCTTTGACGTTAATTTTTTGCTCTATTTTGTGGCTGGAATTTGTTCTACACTCTGATGAAGCTTTAATTTCCTCATGTTTTACTTTGTCGAACATCCAGCTGGGAAAAGAAATGGAGAATTACGACTAACCCAGACAATGTCCTGGTTAGCACGATAGGATGTTTTGCATCAAGCATCGAAGATAAGGGGGTATCTCCATCATAGGTACATTTGTAGCCAT